TGAATGTGCCAGTGGATGATGGGGCAAGGGTCTGATCATCATTGTGGTAACTTTCATTTAAGACCTGCTTATTTGACCAGTCCTCAGCTTTTTCCAGAGGGTTGCAAATTCATAATTCAGCAATTTTCCCAAGATATAGCTACAATATACAGTACTCAAAATGATGAAGAATCATGCCTGTGTAAGAAATAGTATGTTTTGTTTTCCTTCAAATAGAACCAAATCTAAGTATTTTTTTCACTTTATTACCTGGAAGTAGAGATGGACTCAGCATATAGTGAGAACTTCTCCAATAGTTATAGGTAGAGAAGTCTAAGCTCTATATCTAAGATTAGTCTTTGAACCAGCTCTATGCAAAATTTATTCAAATATTTAGCTAGCATAAATTTTAGAGGCATTATATTTGAATAAAATATGCAGGTATTACTTGGCTTAATTATTTGGTTGTGTGAGCTAAGGTAATACCTTTGACAGGAAAGAATATTAAGAACAAAAATACTATCAATTTGCTTTGCCTCTTGCCTATTTCAGATAATTTTTATGGGCTGTTCTTAGAATATGTTAAGCAATATTATTTAGCATAAAAAGGTAACTAAGGATTCCCTAAAATCTTAATCTTGATGATAGACAACTTTATTTACTATAGGACTCAAGTTCAAAAATGCCAAAGATACCAGGAATACAAAGCTACATTGTGAGGAAAATGAGGGTGTTTATGCCTTTTGTAGGCTCCCAGATTCAAGTTTTAAACTTCAATTTCCCTAGTTTAAGTGAATATAAAATAACGTCTGGCTATGGCTTTCTAATTCCTCTTCCCAGTAAACATTTCTCTTGGGTAATTAAAAGCTACACTAATCTCTACTGTGAGTATAGACCCATAGGTTGGTCAGAAAGGCAGGTATCTGTGCTTTGAGCTATGAAGAGAAGGAAGTCGTTCTGAGAATGACACACAGTTCTACTCCCAAATTCATCTACAGCCTCTGTGTGAAATGAATCCTGTGTCTAAAGTGCTTCTGACATTGCCTGTGGCCTGTTCTCATTATTTTTCATGGAAGGAAAGTTCAGAGGCTTCTGCAGTAAAGAATTTCTTGATGCTGATAATACACAAGGCACTCCTAGTTAATGCAACACCCAACAGAGACATCCTATCCCACTTATTTCTGTCATTGGATATAAATACAGATGCTCAATGGAAGAAGAACTTATAACCTCTTTAAGAAATATAAGACATTTTTGCTATTTATAAGCTTTGTACATACTTTTTCCTATTAAACAATCTATGACGGGGGCCTAGAAAGATGGCTCAGTGGTTAAGAGCACTTACTGTTCCTCCAGAGGACCCATGTTTGGTTTCCAGCACCTACATGGTGGCTAACAACTGTCTGTAACTCCAGTTCCAGGGACTCTAACCTCCTCTTCTGTCTTCTGTGGGCATTGCATGCATGTAGTGCGCTTACATACATGCAGACACAATAGTCACACACATTAAAAAAGTTAAAACTGCCCTTACAAGATATTTTATGGTAAAGAATAACCACTGAAGTGACTCTTCTCAGATAACACTATGAAAAACATGCACTGAATGGGCCAATCTACCATGAATGACCTATTGTATGTCATTTTCAATAACAACGACGCCTACCAATACTAAAATATCTGATTCCTTCTTTTTTATTTTTGGCAGCACTAAGGACCAAAACCCAGGATATTCCAGGAAACTCTGCAGTATGGAGCTGTATCCCAGGCCTTGATTTTCTTGAGATAGGGTCTTGCTATCTGTGATGGGTTGGTCTTGAACTGATTACCCTTTTGTTTCTGCTTCCCAAGGGCTAGGATTAGAGGCATACACTATCGCAACCAGAAATATTTGACTCCTTAAAGACCTATCATAAATGAGATAAAAATATTTAAGAAAATATTAGATCTTTCCTTGTTGAGAACAGGCAGCTAACACTTCTTAAAATCTTGCACAGCTGTGCATGGCTCATACCTATAATCCCAGCTTTGAGGCGACTGAGACATGTGGACTTCCATGAGTTCCAGGGAGCTCTGAGCTTAGGAGTGAGTCCTTGTCACACGTAAATAAATGAGAAAGCAAATAAATCTAGCATAAATTTTAGAAAAGTTCAACTGCTACAAGAAATCTTGAGAGGCAGGGTTTAAAAAGGTCTCTTTTCAAGTCTTTCTAAAATGACTTAAAATGTAGATTTTTTTCATTTTTTTACCTATAGAGACTCTAAATGAATATTCTTATGAATTATTTTTTATGGCTATTTAATCTTTCTGATCTATCCTAGATAGATTTTTTTCAAATGTTAGGCTTTTCATCAGAAATAAGGTAGCAACAGTCAGTCATGATTGGTCCATAGGATAAAGATGTAAATATTTTAAGGGTTGACATAGTTTGACTTGAGTCAGCAAGCATCTAAGCAAAGAGACTGACCTCAGTTCACCCAACTAGAATTCCAGTATTGAGTGTCAGATCTGCTGCCAGTCAATACCGTGTCTTGTTTAGAGCCATCACACAGTCTTTAGCAGCAGGGGAGCACAGGATGATCCAGCTGGATGGATGCCAGGTCTTGTCTCACAGGCTAGGAACAGAGGAAGAGATCCAAGTCCTGCTACTGGACAAAAAGCAGGAGGAGGATCACTTCATACACTGACTCCCAGAAAAAACTGGTGTCCACATTTGAGTGGGTGGAGGGTGGAACATTCTTAGAAGGCTTGATTCAGAGAGAGGCAACTTCCTTAAATTGATGGACTTTAGTGCCCTTGTCCTGATTCCATGGGCTTCGGCAGTTCTGATCTTGACACTCAGATTCTGAGTCAGTATAACCGGTAATTTTGTGTATTAAAACATAGTATTTAGTAGCTAACAATCTGTTAAAATAGTCTATATCACAAAAGATGATTTTATATCTATATTAGTTAGAATATATGCCCAAAAGATATTCTTGGGTAATAACAAAAAGAAAATATGGTAGGAATTCAATGATTTGCAATAATACTAATTTGGGGAAATATATTAAGTTAGCTACAATTATAGGAGAAAGAAAAGGGAAGTGTTCTCATGTGTCTGAAGTGTTTGTGCTATATGCCTAAGAATGGTCATAAAAACAAGGGAAGGTTATAGAGAAAAAACTCCCAGTAACTTTGGAATATGGGGACTTGAGAGTTCTAAACTACACCGCTAGCTGAAAAAGAGGTAGCAGCCCTCGGACACCAGAACACAAACCAAACCAAACAGTGCTGAACCGAACAAAACAAAACAAGACAAAATACTTTTGAAAGAGAATCTCTTAGATTTATCAGGAGCACAGAGCAACAGAAGACGTACAGGATAGGATTAGAAGATGAACTGGCCAGAAGCCAGAACTTGGCAGGGCAACAAGATTACAGAAAGGCAGGAAAACTTTTCTGGAAACAGGAAAGCAGGAATCTGGGCAGCTGTGCATCTTCTCCCCCAGGCATCAGTTCTTTCATCTTAACAGGTACATCATGTTTTTGACTTTGTTACTTTACTTTAAAATAGTGCACAATGATAATTGTATTACCAAGTGCAGATTAAGCAGGATTACATAAGGACATTCTTCACATACACAGATGGAATAAAATCATATAAACATATATTTCAAATTCCAGTTCTAACAGATAAAGAGCTACCAATTCATCGTAAGACAGCTATGAAAATCACGGACAAAGGAGACATCTGAATCTTTGGCCATAATATCAGGAGTTATCCACAAACTTTTCCTAACATGATTAGTGTTTCAATTCACCTGTTCCTCAGTTGGATCTCAAGATCTATTTTAAAATATTTTTAGCTCCTTCTCACAGATGACATATGGGTTGGACAAATAAGCAAGAAAAGGGCCCCAAGTGACATCCCCAAAGGACCCAAGTTTCTGTGTGGTCACAGAGAGATGGAGTGATGCCTCTCTGGAAGCCCAGAGGGTGATCTGGTTCGATTGTTCCTTCCTAGGGTATTACTCTCTGGTGCTGTATTTTGGAATGAGGCCTTAGTTCCATTACCCATCAGTTGTTGCTGTATTCAGCTACTAGAAGCAAACATGCTTAATCCTTGTCTCCCACGGTATTGGGGGAAAATCTACAAAGTTTAGTTATAATTCATGTTTCCCAAGAGAAGAACTTGATGTAATTCTGGGTCACCAGTGAGCACCCCTTTTCCTTTGACCTCATTCATATCACTGTAAGCATTCTTCATCTAAATGCTAAAACTTGCTTTGGAATGGAACTTTTTTCCTGTGTTAGGGTTAGCTCCTCTCTTAGAATATTACATAGGGACAGAAGAGAGTAAAGAGAAGAGGGTTCAAAAAAGTTCTGGTTATAAAGTCATCAGGTAAATCTCAATGGTAATATTTATCACCTCTACTAATTAATATGAAATAAAATGACTGTGACTAGTAATAATCAGACACATAGAGATTAAAGACACATGTGTAAACATCTAAGTGTTAGTAGCATTAAAAATGTAGGAAATAGTATATTTTTAAATGAAATGGAGATTTTCCATTTCAAGGTTAAGAACTCAATTTTATGTCTTACAGGGTTTATACTGAGTTCAATATTGTGTAACTGTATTACTTCAACTGTGAACATAAAAATTTACAGCCACTTTTGAAAGAGATTTATCCTTTCTCTGGAAATTGTTACTGAATGTGTTAAAGCTGTAATGAAATGCTTCTTCTAATCAAGTGGTTATTAAATTAAAAAAAAAAAGTTCTGGAAGAGGAGTTAAAAAAAGAAAGAAAGAAAAATGTCTCCACATCTAAAATGTATTATCACAAACCCAGTACACAAGTTTCACTGCTGACCCTCCCATGACCCAGCTCCACCCATGAGGGACACAGGTCAGGCTGACCAATGGCATGAAAGCACAATGCCAGACAAGGGGCCAGAATATCATCCACGAAGAATAAAAGGCCATGGCTTCCGGCAGCAGCACACTGCTTCTGACACCTCTGTGGTCTCCAGCAAGCTCTCAGATCTAGCATCATGGTGAACTTTACTCCTGAAGAGAAGAGTCTTGTCACCAGCCTATGGAGCAAGGTGAATGTTGAGGAAGCTGGAGGTGAAGCCTTGGGAAGGTAAGTGTTGGCCGCTGATGTTTAGGGGGAAGGGTGAATAGGACCATTGATAACTAGCCACAAAGGTCCTCAAGAATTTTGAGTTTTTCTGACTTTTCCAGCTGTGTTTTCTCATAGGCTCCTTGTTGTGTACCCATGGACCCAGAGATTCTTTGACAGCTTTGGCAACCTGTCTTCTGCTTCTGCCATTATGGGCAACCCCAGGGTGAAAGCCCATGGCAAGAAGGTGCTGACTTCCTTTGGAGAAGCCGTTAAGAACATGGACAACCTCAAGGCTACCTTTTCAAAGCTCAGTGAGCTGCACTGTGACAAGCTGCATGTGGATCCTGAGAACTTCAAGGTGAGTTCCTGACAAGGTCACATATTCATTTGCTTTTGACTTGGGGGCAACAATGGAAGCTGAGACTCATTTGTAAGGGCAACATAGACCTCAGAACTCATTGTTCAGAGCAGAGGCAGTAAATGGCTGTAAGAAGCCTAAATTAGTTTATAGGTACTTAGAAAAATTTGTCACAATAGAACTTTTACGTGGCTACCATAGAGAGTGATTTCAGGGAATAGCAGATTTGTGCAAGAAGAAATAGGATTTGAAAATGGGAAATACCTTACTTTCTGTAGGTTCTAGTGACGGACATTGAGGAAAAGATTTGGGAGACAATTCAAAGACAAAATTTCTTCACTAGTATGACAAATTATCAACAATATGTTAAATGAATATTGTGACAAATGGAGACTTGTTCGTACATTGCTAGAAATATGAGAACCTTTGCGGTACTGAAATCCCATCTTACAGATCTTAGCCAACTGTGGATGAGAAAAGGAGCAAGAAAGGTAAATAGAACATGGTAGAAAGAGGAAAATGTGTAACATCTCAGCCAGGACAATGCAAAAGGAAGTCACAATGCTGAAATTGAACCCCAGCTTATCAGAGATGATGAGGGACTAGGTAGTTTGATCTCAGAGGTATTAGAGAGTACCAGGTCAAAACTGTTTCATTTTTCCATGCATATTCTTATTTTCTTTGAATGTTTATTTAACATGCCTCTCTGTTATTTTGTCTTTCACCTAACAGCTCCTAGGCAATGTGCTGGTCGTCGTCCTGGCTAGTCACTTTGGCAAGGAATTTACCCCTGAGGTGCAGGCTGCCTGGCAGAAGCTGGTGGCTGGCGTGGCCAATGCTCTGTCCCACAAGTACCACTGAGGCCTTTTTCAGATGACCAGCTCTCCTGTGTGTCTCTTGCAACCTCCTTCTGCACATGAGTTCTGGCTTAGCCCCTGAGGGCACAGTTTCTGTTTAATAAAGTTCATTCTCTTCAGTAATCAAAAATTCTCACTTGTCTATTTTTCTGTTTTGTGGTAAAGAAAAATTGTTATGGGCTGAAGGGAGGGAAGAGACAGAGGAAGAAACCCGAGCTTCTATGAAAAGTATGTGGGGATTCACGAAGGAAGGTAGCTGTTATGTGATGCTTCTAGAGGCCCAAAGAGGATGAAATGTTGGAGTCGAATTCTCAAAGAGAAGAAAGGGCTAATTTCGGGGAGATGGATTTATATGGCAGTTAGCAAAAAGTTACTGTAAAGAAGAAAGAAAAGAATGGAAAGGGTCTCTCAAAGTAGGTTGGAATATGTGTCATTTCCATCAAGCAAAAGATTTAAAGAGATCTAAGGTCCAAGCTAGGATTACTGCTTTAATTTACTTGAACATACATTTTATTTCATTAAAAGGTTTATTTTATTTTTAAATATGCGTATGTGTTTGGGTCTGCATGTGGTTAAGTACAAGTGAGTGCAGGTGCACTGGGAAGCCAGAGGTGCAGGAGCCCCCTTAAGTTGAAGTTACATGTGACTCTGTGCCACTTGATGTGGGTGTTGGGAACTGAACTCAGGTACTCTGCAAGAGCAGAGAGCACTCTTAACTATTAGTCATCTCTCCAGCCCTGAATATACACTTTCAAGCAGCTAGTTTATCTGGTGTCTTCTGAGACTGATTTCAAGATAAACGGATGATTTGAGAGATGGCTGGGAGCATTTCAGGAGTTCTGGTGCTGCAATGAGAGTGGGCTGCAGGCTGCTTTTTATGGAGGATTTCATTGTCGCAATGAGTAAATAAGTCTAAGACATATACTCACTTTGCAGTATTTCCTAAAAGAATGCAATTAGCAATAAAATGAAGTGAGACTTAGGATGTAAGTAGAACCTTTCCTGGTCAGGTGGGGGATGTTGATTCCATATATGAAAAGTCTATTTTTCTATGTAAATATTTAAAAGGTAAATAATCTAAACCCAGGAGATAGAACCTGATGATTTATATGAAACTGACTCCCTTAAGACAAAAGGCAGTTAAAGCTGGAAAAAACCACACAGTATAGAAAATTGACTATAAATATGTAGGCTATCAGTATTATAGTAGAAATAATAAAAAAATAACCTGGGTCTGGTGGCACATACTTGCTACTGGGAAAGCTAAGGCTAAAGGGTTACAGATCCAAGGACTGCCTGGGCTGCAGTGAGTGCAAGGCAGCTTAGTCAGCTTAGTGAGATGCTGCCTCAAAATGAATGACAAGAATCTTGTGTTGAGGAGAAGAAAGGACTAATTTAGTGGAGATGGTATTATATGGCAATTGCCAAAAAGTTACTGTAAAAGGGAAACAAAAAAAATGCCAAGGGTTCCTTCACAGTAGGTTGGAATATGAGCCACTTCCATCAAGAAAAAGATTTAAAGGGATCTGGGGTCTAAGCTAGGATGTGTAGCACAATTTATAGAATGTAGAATTTCATAGACTTGAGTTACAGTACCAAAAAAGTAAATTTATTGGTAAACAATATGTATTTTAGGACAATTGTATGCAAACAAATTCAAATAAGCAGAAAGTACATCAAGGTGATATATTGTTTTAAATCTAAGAAAAGTAATTAGACATTCAACCAGTGATGATGACCAAAGGTAGAGGGAGAGAGACATAGTGTCAAGTTTTCTAGAGTGAATGAGAAGAAAAGAGGAGGTAGCAGAAGTTGAAATAACCCAACCTCAGAGAATATATAATCAGAAGAGACCATGCACTGGCCCTAGACCATTGTATGGGTGAATCATCCTGGACAGAGTCCAAAGGTGATAGGGAGCTTGCTGTTCAAATCTGGAGTCAAGTTCCTATATCTAGGATTGAAATAGTTAAATGGGCAGATGAGATGAACACAAACAACACAATGTAGGTTAGTAGGATGTATTGTTTCAGAGCAAGTATAGACCTATTGACATAGAACTCATCTTCTATGGTAGGGAATATAAGCTGTTGTAAGATTTTAATTCTTACAACATAATTTCTAAACACTATGTATTTTTATAATAGTATGCCAAGTATTCTACTCTAATTCTGTTGCTGTGATAAAATACTCTTACCAAAAGCAAGTTGTGGAAGAAAAGGCTTATTTCAGCTTTCACTTCTAATTCATAATCCATCATTGAAGGAAGTCAGAGCAGGAACTCAAAGTATGAACTTGGAGGCAGGAGAGGACAGCTGCTCATAGGCTCTCTTGGGATCATGCTCAGTTCACGTTCTTCTTTCTGAGCCTAGGGAGGGTGCCCGCATCGGACCCTCCTACATCAATTATGAGCCCCATGGAAAGTTTTATTGTCACACTATGTGTGATGGTTATTTTTTGATACCAGCTAGAGTTACCTGGGAAGAGGAAAACTTAATTCAAGATTTTCCAACATCATCTTAATCTGGGAGCATGTTGGTGTGGCACTTTCTCAATTTCTAGTTGACCTAGAAGAGCTCAACCCACTGTGAGTGCTGTCTGAACAGAGGAGTCTGGAGTTTATAAAAAGGTAGCTAAACAAGGTGGAGAAAGCTTGACAGTAAGAAGAGTTGATCTTCTTTAAAGGAGGGACTCTAGATAGGCTGACTAGGCTCCAGTGGATGAGCTTGTACCAAGACTTATCTGAGTACAAAAGCTTGACTCAATTGGCCTTAACATCTATGACAGAATGCATGAAATCCAGTGGGGACAGCGTTATCAGGGGTTGCAGATTGGGGAGGGGGGTCTAAATATGACTAAGATGTATTGTATGAAATACATAAAAAAATCAATGAAAAATATACATTAAAAATTCAAGGAAAACATATTTTGAAGTATGAAAGGATAATTAAAATAAAATCATAAGTTAAGTGCATGCATCACAAAAAGAAGTATTTCTCTATGCCTTTCTGCTTCAGTTCCTGCCTTTAGTTCCTGCCTTGATGTCTCCCTATGATGAACTGTAAACTATAAGTTAAATAAGCCTTTCTTCCTAAGTTGCTTTTGGTCGGTGTTCTTCCACAGCAACAGAAGGTAAGCCAGAACACACAAGGTTTATCATACATTCTTAGGACTGACAATAATTTTGACAGAGTTATTCAACAAACAGTTGTTGAGTGTATGCTTGGAAGTTCGTGGGATAACTTGTAATAAAACTGTCAATGAAGTTTCAAGCAATGTCAGAAACAATGATGTGGGAAAGTGAATGGAAGCACAGGTATAGACAGCAGTTAGAACATCTTTGGAAGAAACTGCCTCCAGAAAGTAAGAGTAAAGCAGAGGTTACACGGAATTCTGGATTACTATTTTGTTTTCTTGAAATGTGATAAAGATATTTTGCAGGACTATAGGATCACAAATATCATCAGTGCCTGAGGAGCAGCACGTGAGAGTCACTTGTAGAGGTCTTTGGAGGCTTAGACACTAGGTTCCAGTTACCCTCCAAGATCAGACCTTGTAAATTGAAGATAATAGAATATTTGATATTCTGAGAGATCTGTGCACAGTACACCATCTCATAAATGTCCTATCTTAAAGAGAATTTGTGGGTTCTCTTTCAGCCATTAAAATCTACTCCATGTGTCACTATGCTGAAAGAACTCAAAATGTTACAACTGTTTATAGAAAATCGCTACTGATATTAGAAATATCACAGTTGTTCATTTAGCTTTCCCTTCTATGAATAGATACAAGCTTTATAAGTCATTGTAATGACTCAAAGGTTTTCATCTGTGTTTCCTCCAATCTGAGAATCTAGGGAGTAAATTAATTTGGAGACAGATCTTCCAATGAATCAGTTGCCTGTAACTTCTTTATATGTATTTTTAAGTACTTATCAATTCTTGTGATAGTAGCACACAATGAAACCAGATTTCCAAAGTTTCAGGCATCGTGATCTAGCAAGTTCATGCTCAGGAAAAATGAAAAATTGTGGCATCTTCCTGCCATGCTCAATGTGACATGCCAGGAGCAGAAGTGAGCAGTTGTGTTCTAGCATGGATACTGCCCATGGACTATTACTCTGTGGAAATACCCCTTCTTCTTCAGAGCTATATTACAAACATGCAAAAAGCAAAGATACACCCTGGCTCACACAATGTGAAAGACCAGCCATTTACCTTCTCAGCACTTACTCTTTCATGAGCATAGAGAAGGCTGCACCCATACTAACTACCAGCCAGGTCACTTACGCAGTGGATATGCATGTTGTCTGGTGACCACAGAACATTGATATAGAAGCAAATACTATTGTTTAAACTATGTAGTTATGCCATATTTTAATGTATGGTAGAGGCAAAGATTCACACATATTTTATTCCACAGCAGTAATCTATTCCTATACAGAAACTGAAAGATAATCGTTCTGTTGAGAAGTAGGGAGTTCATGGCCTAAACCCACAGAGAATGCATTCAAAGGAGAGTATAGCACTTGTTTCTTGGAATTCCTTTCTTAATAAGGTTTCTATTTGTGCCACCTGAGACTGAGACCCCATTCTAATGACCCTAAAGACTCTTACTTTCCCTCAATTTTTATAAAAATAATTGTCTATGGTTCCTCTTTAATCTAAGGAAAGAGACCAAAAATAATGGAAAGTTTAACAACGAAATCCTAGCAAATCCATGGGCAGGATCCATGGAACCAAAGAAAAGGAAACAATGAGAGAAGAAACTACTTTAAAGGTAGGGTCTCCATGAAGGGCCTGCTTGACATTATCTCAATGGGAATGCTATCTGACCTTTACTCCACTGGACCCCACCCTGGCTTGTCCAGCCCCCTTGACCAATAGCCTCAGAGTATCAGGGAGGGGAGAAGGGGTGAGGAGGTCCCTGGCTAAGAATAAAAGGACATGTCTTCCAGCAGTTGAACACATTTGTTTCTAACTACCTGCAGCTATCAGCAAGCTCCTAGACCCGACACCATGGTTCATTTCACAGCACAGGAGAAGGCTGCTGTTGCACGTGTATGGGGAAAAGTGAACTTGGAAGAAATTGGAGGAGAAACTCTGGGAAGGTAGGTCCTGGGAGCAGGACAGGGAAGAGAGGGGGAAAACAGTTTGGTGGAAATATCCAGGCCTCTTTCAAGTGCTTGTGACAAACTGCTAATGGCCATCTCCTAGGCTCTTGACTGTCTACCCATGGACACAGAGGTTCTTTGACAAATTTGGAAACCTATCTTCAACTGCAGCTATCATGGGCAACCCCAGGGTGAAAGCCCATGGCAAGAAAGTGCTGACGTCCTTTGGAGACGCCATTAAGAACATGGACAACCTCAAGGAGGCCTTTGCTCATCTGAGTGAGCTGCACTGTGACAAGCTGCATGTGGATCCTGAAAATTTCAAGGTCAGTTCAAGATATACTCATGAATTCATTTGGGTTAGACTTGGGGCAATCATAGGAATTCAGACTGTGATTGGTAATGCCAACCCAGATCTCAGAATACCTAGATCCGGAACTGGTGATAGTAAATGGTGGAAGAAGCACAGAAAATTGTCAGGACAGAAAATTCAAGTGGTGGATATGTAATCCAGTTGGTGGCTTGCATTTTTAGCATGCATAGGCTTGGATCTTGATTCCTAGCATGGGAAATAAAGGAATAGAATTTTAGATTTGTTTATTGTAGTGCATGGTTTTAGAAATTAGAAGATCTTTGCAAGAATAAATGGAAATTGGAATTGGATGGGTTTTCTATGGGGAGAAATAGCTTCTTTGTATAAATCCTAATGGCTGATGCTTCAGGAAACAGATGAGGTGAATTTAAAAGCAGATTTTTCTAATCAATTTGATGAACTCTCAGAAAAAAATAATGTACTGCATTTCCATTGAGTATTGTCACAGCAAAGGTTTCTTTCTGCACTGGCTGGAGACGTACACTTCACAAGCAACCTTGTTGCACTGAAGTCCTGTGTTTATAGAAATTAGTCAAGTGGCAAATAGAAAGGGAGAAAGATCAGGGTGGAGGAATAAAGACGGAAGGCTAGAGGCGGGAGAATGTTCAACGCGAAGGACAGCAGCCACGACTATCAAACTGAATAAAGTTCATCAAAATGACTGAAAAGGAAGTTGGAGGTTGGAGTGATCAGGGAATGACGGTTTAAAATGCTCTTTTTCATGGAATTTTTTTTCTGAACATCCACATATTAACACCCTTTGTTATTTTGTCTTTCATCTAACAGCTCCTGGGAAACATGTTGGTGATTGTCATGTCTGCTCACTTTGGCAAGGAGTTCACTCCCGAGGTGCAGGCTGCCTGGCAGAAGCTGGTGGCTGGGGTGGCCAGTGCTCTGTCCCACAAATACCACTGAGCCCTCTTCCTAGCTGACCAGCACTCCTGTTTCCCCCTATGCTCTTCTGCACAGGAGTATTGAACTAGGTCTTGAAAGTAAGATTCTGTTTAATAAAGACCATTTTCTTCAGAAACTGAAAATTCATACTTTGTACTGTCTTTATTTTACTTTTATGATAAAGAAAAAATGGTTGATGGGTTCTTGGGAAAGGAAAGACAGGAAGAAAAAATAACTTTTCTGAAAAGTCTTTAGGGACTTAGGAAAACAGGTGTTATAGGAGGGTGCTGGAGGGCCAGGGAGGCTGAAAACTTGGGGAGAAAGTCTCATAGAGGGGAAGAAAGAGCTGGTGTAACTTAGTGGGAATAGTATGGCAGTAAGACAAACATTTCCTACATAGTGGACAGAGGAGGTTGGCCAGTGGTTACTGAGAAAGAAATGTGGGACATGCCAAATCACTTAAGAGAACTTTTTACATAGATCTAAAGTCTAAGGTAGAATAATTACTTTTAATTTATTTGAATATGCATTTTGAAATAATTAACTTCTACTGATTGCTTACACATGTAGTCACTGGAGAGTGATCTTTAGAGAAGTAGGAGAATTTGGATGATATCTAGGAACCATGCAGAAGACACGTCCATGGATCAAGTGCAGAGGGTTATTTTTTGAGGAGGTAGGGAGGTTAGTTTCATTCTGTCAATAGGAAGAAAAGCTAAGACATACAGTCACTGTGCTGTGTCTGTGCAGTATGTCCTAAATGCCCTAAAATGAAGTTCACATGAGGATTTAAGCAGTGGGAGCATGTGGAAATGATGAAGATTCATATACACAAAGTCTGTGTGAATATAAAAGGATCATAGTCTAAAACTCTTGTCAACTTGGTGACTGGAAGCTTACTCAAAGCAGAGATCAGGTAAACATATCAGGGCTTGAGGTCTTTAAACACTGAAAGTTAGAGTCCTGTATGTTAGAAAAATTATTGTACCACTCATTTTCTAGACTCCATACATTGGTCAAAATTTAGCTGGTTAAATATATTCAGATTTGTCTCTGTCTCTGCTATAAGGTGCTGAGAACAGTAATACCCATAGACTTAGTCTAGGGTCTTTCTGAACACTAAGACTTTCAATATGTCATGAATAGAATAAGCAGTATTTATTCATTGTGATCAAATTAATTTCACCAAGTTAGTGAGAACCATGTGCATTTAAACATTTTTTTTTTCTCTTTCTTGCCTCCAATATTCTGTCTCTGGACATCTGGGGGTGAAGGATCTTAATGACGGAGTAATGGGCAGAACATAGGTGTTCTACCTCTTTGAAGGGGAGATAGAGATCTAGGTATTCCCAACCAAATGCCCAAGACAGCAAATTTTAAAATATTTCATAATATACACACATATATGTGGGTGATTCAAGATTTTTAACGACTGATGAGTAATTCTTGGTCACATATCTCTCTATTAAACTATGTAACATTTACAAGGGATGATAAAGATTGAAATCAATACATTTAGATCATCATTGTGATTGTTAATTATTATTGTTTTATGTATTTGTGTGCATGTGTGTGAGGGCAGCGGTGTGTAGGTGTGAGTATGCCTGCATACATGCATGTGTGAGAAACAAAGGACAACCTTATCCGTCATTCCTCAGGTTCTGTCCTTCTGGTTGTTTTTTGAGATAGCATTTCTCATTGGTCTGGAACTCAATATATAGGCTAGATTGGCTGGCCAGCAGGCCTCAGGGATCTGAATGTCTCTGCCTTTCAAGCTCTGGGATCACAAGCAGACATTACCATTGCTGGCTCGTTCTCCCTCATATGTGGATCCCAGCACCAAATCCTCATATGTGAATATGCATCCTGAAACTGCAGGAACCAGTATAATGGAAAGGAACCAGAGAAGTAAAGGAAATAAGGAACCTGAGTGAGAAGACCAGCAGGAGACAGGTGTTACTAATGGAGAAACTGATCAAATAGGGGTATTTAAATGGGAGGGGGAAGAAGGGTTATACCAGAAACTTTGGGGATAAAGAGAAAGAAGGACCTCAAGAGAGCTGGGACCATAGTAGACTGGTATTATCAAGGGAGAAATGGGGAAAATGGGGACATTTTAAATGGGGAAGTCATGGTGCAAGAGTTAGACAGGGAAAGAAGGGAGAGATTAATAAAGCCTAGCTAGTTTAAAAAAAGAAGAAATCATATTAGGTCCAACAACCTAAAGATAAATTACACATAGCTAAAGGCTACATAAAAAGAAACAGTGCCAGACAGGAGAAACTTTCCTCTGAGTTTTTGGCCAGGGTAGTACAAGAGACTCACAAAATTACACAGGCTATTGCCATTGTCCTTGATTGCCTCCCAGAACTTGAAGGTAAAACCCTATTGCTGAAGACAGGACATACTTGAGACATAGGATTTAGAATATTGGAGCTGGAACTGACTTAGAAGCCATCTCCCCTGAAAGCTACCTCTCATATCTTTGGAAAGCACTATACGAGGTACTAAGAGAAAACACCAATCAACAGTCTGACACCAGCTTCAAGACTAAATAACCACATCAATGACCTGCACAGAATATGACATTGGTGCAGTAGTGACGCCTTTATCTTGGGGGCAATTAACAGCTACCTAATTTGACTAAAAGCCCACTCAGTGGGAGAAAACTCACATGTGGTACTGTAAACATACACATGGCTGGAGAGGTCATAGATCTTAGAGAAAAATCCCAAACCGTCACATCCCTAAACTAATGGAATTTCTTACTATGTGCTAAATATGTATCCTTATATTTACGGACAAATACCCCAGTCACCATGCATCAAAGAAGCTTCTTTTGCACCAGACAGAGACTATTACAGAGTACCACAACTGGTCACACACAGACATTGTGAATTGTCCAAGTCTAAGTGGCACATCTACAATGCAGCCTCTACACCTAAGGCTCACGGAATATTGAAAAAGGGGTAAAGAACACAACAATGATGACCTCAGTTCTCAAGCTCCCTCATGCAACAGAGGGCCAGGACACAAAAGGTTACAAATGGACCAAAGTATAGAGACTAAAAGTCTGCAGAATTCTGGTCCTTGGACAGGACTCCTATATTAATCTATACCCACTGAGGGCTCAGGGACTATTGTTGAAGAGGGGGAGGGTTCTAAGAGCCAGGGAGGAGGTGCATGACCATTTGGAAATATAGTCCTATAGGCTCCTGGGACCCTGCTCATATGAACCTACAGCAATGTTGTTAGCATGCACAGGACCCATGCGAACTCAAACAGACAAAACCCCAGCATAGAACTGGGGAAATGGACAGTAGATCCCAATCTTAGCTGAAGAAATCTTGGCAACTAATTACTGCTGTGTGAGGAAAAGCTGATCTTCCAAAAGCAAGAGACTGTGATAGGGTAACTAGCCCTCAGTAGATGAACTCGCACTGAGGGATGTCTGGGGACACTAACTGGACACAATAGGCCTTAATTAAAAATGACAGAATGTGTGAATTCCAGTGGTTGGGGAACTATGGGAGGGTGCCAGTGGGGAAGGGGTATAAAGATGAGCTATTCTGTATGAAATACACAAAAGTTCAATTAAAAAACAAAATTTCTTAAATAATATTTTTATTTGTTCTTTGGGAATTTACTATAATGCCTTTTGATCATATTCAAGCCTCCTCCTCTATCTTATCTCAGATTCACCCCCACCTTTCTACCTCCCTACCTACCTAAACCCCAATTTTTGTCCTCTTTTAAAATTTTTGTGAACTTTGTTCATAAGTGTGTATACTCAGATGTCCCTCACTGTGAGTTCACCCACTGGAACATGGTTAGCTTACGTATGTCAGTTCCTGAAGTAAGATCAACTGTCTTTCAAGCATCAGTGATCAGCTGCTGCCATCATTGTCCTAAGTTCCCAGAAGTCTGGAAGATTCTGTTTCCTTAAGATCATGCAACAACCCTTGGCTCTTTCAATCTACCCACCCCCTTTTCCACAATGGTCCCCGAGCTCTTGGTGGGGACCTATCTAGGGACACACACTCTGCAGTCTCCTATGCTCTACAATCTGACCAGGTGTGACATTCTGTGTTAATCAACCTCTGTTGCATGGTGAAGCTTCCCTGGTGAGAGCTGAGAGATACACTAGTATTCTGTCTAACTCCTGCTCCACTATGTTCTAGAGCACACATTATAAGGCCCAGGAGTGGTAAATCAGGGGCCGACGTATCAGCAAGCAGCTGCAGAGGTAACCTGAACACTGCTATGTGTAAGAAGAGACATCTGCGGTAGAGGTGATATCCTAGAGGGAGACTGCATATGTAAGGCAGAAATTGCAGGGAGAAAAAGATTTGAGGCTGAAACCCTCTGAATTGGCCTCCAATATAGCAGATAAATTGGTTAAAAGAGGGGGAAATGGAGATGTTAGCTTGACATTTCTCAAAGCTGAGATGTTAATGAGCCCTTTGTGGAACACCCAAACCTGGACTACCTGGGAGAAGTCAGGTACCAAAAAGGAAGAGAGCCAAAAAGAAGGTGACAGAAAATACTGGAAAATACTGCGTTGGCCTGTATAAGCTATTATATTAGATATATTATAGATATTTGGTCATATTAGTGGACATCTCCACGGATATTAGGGCCTCGAGGCTAGTAGAAGAGGGATAGGCACTACTGAGGGAACTAAGCACGAGGGAAACAATGTGTGATGCCCAGTTCATGGAGACAGATAACGGTGTGTTCACCAGAGATTTAAAGAAGGACTTGATTCAGCAGGGACCTGGAGATTTGTATGGAACTTTAGTGGCTCTTCTGAGTCCCTCTGTAGGGCAGGATCTTCATGAAGTACGAAAGGCTGGGGCAGATCTAAGGAGCTTAGATCAGCATGTAAAGTGTGTCTGTAAAATGGCAGAGCAATCTACAGGAGGCAGAAGAAAGACAAAGCAGAGACAGAGGTCCGTTTGGGTTACTGGAAGGCAAATGTGCCAAGATTTGTAAAGAGCCAAAGTTCCTAAGCAAGAAGT